GAATGATCCTCTTTTTTTTTTTAAAGATTTTATTTATTCATTTGAGACGCAGAGATAGAGAGAGAGCATGAGCAGGGAGAGAGGCAGAGGGAGAGGGAGAAGCAGACTCCCCGCTGAGCCAGGAGCCCGATGTGGGGCTCGATCCCAGGACCCCGGGATTATGACCTGAGCTGAAGGCAGACGCCCAACCATCTGAGCCACCCAGGCGCCCCAAAGAATGATCCTCTTTTTTTTTTTTTTTTAAAGATTTATTTATTTATTTTGAGAGAGTGAGAATGAGAGAGAGAGAAAGAGTACATGAGAGGGGGGAGGGTCCGAGGGAGAAGCAGGCTCCTCGCTGAGCAGGGAGCCTGATGCGGGACTCGATCCCGGGACTCCAGGATCATGACCTGAGCCGAAGGCAGTCGCTTAACCAACTGAGCCACCCAGGCGCCCAAGAATGATCCTCTTAACAACCTAATAAAACAGGAGCCAGCTTCATAGAGGTGTTTCTTAAGAAATTCCTTGCTAATGGGCCGCACAAAAAATCAGTAGTTGGTAAAGCTATTTGCAGCGGTTCCAGGAGTGTGGTGATGGCTGTGTATGGGATTTGAACATGAGGGTGGTCCAGTACACTGCCCTGAGGAGCAGCTCAGGGGGAGGATATGTTATAGAGACTACAGTTAGGATTCCCAGCTAATGTGTCGTGCTACCCTGGTGTCCTGTGAATTTTCACAGATAGGCCACTAATTTTTTTTTTTTTTTTAAGATTTCATTTTATTTATTTGACAGAGAGAGACAGCAAGAGAGGGAACACAAGCAGGGCGAGTGGGAGAGGGAGAAGCAGGCTTCCTGCCGGGCAGAGAGCCCGATGCGGGGCTCGATCCCAGGACCCTGGGATCATGACCTGAGCCGAAGGCAGACGCTTAACGACTGAGCCACCCAGGCGCCTAGGCCACTAAATTCATTTTAAAAAATGAATGGTATGAAAGCCTGACCTAAGCGTGTTACATTTATCTTTGCCACAGCTGAGGATCCACACTGCTAAGCAGCCTATCAGATGGTGGTCTGGGATATGAATGCAGCAGTCGGGGGCGGGGGGCAGGCAGGAAACAAGAGGTGCCACTTAGACTCTCATTACAAAGAATATAATGTGGATGGACTGAACAGTCTCCATAAATATTCTCTCAAATTAGATTTTGGTAAGTGCTGTGAAGAACAAGTGAACTACGTCTGGTCAGATGTAGGTCCATACGCTTTCATATTTGGCTAATGGTATTAACCACCTCTTAGGAAGGTTGAGAAGCCTCGTGAGGTAAGATGCTTGAATAGAGAGCTAGCGTATCTAAAGATTTTCCTAAAAAAAACCAGCTTGAGGCTTGATCCAATACATGTTGAAAGGGGCAGTCAAGGTCAAGGTTTCCAAATTTCTACATTGTAGAGGATAGCCACATTAATTTAGGTTTGGGAGAATTGATTTTTAAAAAAATGAATGGTATGAAAGCCTGACCTAAGTAAGAGGGGAAAAAAAATAAAACAAAGTTGTAAAGTGTCCATATAAGTTCCTGGTAAGGGGCTGCTGGGTGGCTCAGTTGGTTAAGCATCCGATTCTTGGTTTCGACTCAGGTCATGACTTCATGGGTCATTGGATCTAGCCCCATGTTGGGCTCCATGCTTGGGGAGGGGTCCACACTCGGTGGGGAGTCTGCTTGAAGATTCTCTCCCTCTGCCCCTCCCTCTGTGTACTCTCTCTCAAATAAATAAATCTTAAAAAAAACAAAAAATCTCTGGTAAATCCTTCAAGGTAAATGGTGTCCAAGTAGATAGTAACCAGAGTGGTTTGGAAGGTTTAGAAGCTGGCTTCACCTCTCTTTAAGCCACAGTGTCTTCATCTGCAAACTAAAGACATTAGTATCCACTTGAGGGCTAACCAGTTAGTAAGATTAAAACTGAATAAAATCCCTGATGGCCTTCTCTAAGCCATTTTATGTATGTGTTTTTCTAGCCAGAGTTGTGTTTTGTTACTAGAGGGTCCTTGTCTCATGACTCACTAGGAATTGTTTGTGATGCTATGACACGGTGCAGATAAAACCTTGTATCTTGTCCTGCTGGTTGGAGGGAGTCAGAGTCTCCCCTCTCAGGTGTCTGAAGGAGGATTTTTAAAGTTACGAAGTAGCTGAAGTTTGGAAGCCCTTTGGCTTGCCCTCATCCAGGTCACCTCTCCAGTCCGACCGCGGGAGCAGGTATCAGGTGATAGCTGAGCCAGGGTTAAAGGCAAAGGGCACAGTAGTCCTGAGGGCGGTCACTTCTGGGCAACTTCATTTCACGCTGCCATTTACGATTGAGTTGGGTCCTCGGATAATATTGGAAGACTTTTCCATTTGGCTTCATACTCACAGGTAAGCCCTTCATCGTGGCTTCCAGAGGACCCCTGCCTGACTTGTTCTGGTCCTGGCATTTAAGTTCTCAGAGAAACGAATGTCATGATGTGTAGAATAAATGAAAGTTAGAAGCCCACAGTGTGAAGTGTCCCAAGAAGATAGCAAGGAGAGAGGAAGAAGGTAAAGGTGAGTGAACTCAGTGCCTCCCGCTGGGAAATCAGGTCCACACTTCAGGGAGTTGACAGCGTTTCTCTGTGGGTTTGTTTTTGTCCCTGAAAGTCAGAGAGAGAAAAGGCCTAAGAAGTGGACGGTGGGGTGGAGGTAATTGCAGACCTGGGGCCCTTTATCTGACTCATCTGAACCACCTCTCAGCATTTTGATGTAATGACACAGTTTCTGTCTCTTTGCTTGTTCTTAGCAAAGCCCCATCCCATCAGAACAAAGCCCGAGGACAGGATGGCCCACAGCAGTGGCTGACCTCACCGTTCGCTCAGGGCCAACCCAGCTCACACTCGCACATCTGTTATGTCACCACCTGTGTCACTGTCATCTGTCTTCCTTTGGCATTTTAGGCTGGCTTTTCCAGAAGAAGTGTTTTGTTTCCTTGGTCTGGGCTTTATATTCATTTTACTGCTTCTATATTCAATTAAAGTCAATGGCTTAATTGTACATTGAAAACAAAACCAAAAGACTTAACAAGAAGCCACTGCCCTGATTGGGCAGGAGAACTGAGGGCAGTGCTACTCTGAATGTGCTCTGGTTTCCTGACAAGAAGGGGCACATATAAGGGCCCTGAGAATATTTGCAGGTGCAATTCCTCATACACTCATTTTTGAGTTGTTGTGGAGAACAAGAAAAGTGTCAGAAGCCAGAGACGTTAACACAGTCTTCCCCTGGGGGAAAAAAAAAGAATTCTGTAAACTAGTCCATGTTGATTCCAGGCCAGATTCTAGAATATTCTTTTTTTTTTTAAAGATTTATTTATTTTTATTTTGAGAGAGTGAGAATGAGAGAGAGAGAGTGCATGACAGGGGGGAGGGTTAGGGGGAGAAGCAGGCTCCTTGCTGAGCAGGGAGCCCGATGCGGGACTCGATCCCGGGACTCCAGGATCATGACCTGAGCCGAAGGCAGTTGCTTAACCAACTGAGCCACCCAGGCGCCCTAGAATATTCTGACAGAGAGATGGGCATGCATGCCTCATAAAGTGTGAAGTACTAAGAGTTTCAACGCAGGTTCACAAAGAATAGGAGACTTTAGGCCAAGGGTTTTCTACATCATCAGATTCATCGCCCTCTTTTTTTTTTTTTTTTTTAAGATTTTATTTTTTTGAGAGAAAGCAGGAGTGAGAGAGATCACAGAGGCAGAGGGAGAAGCAGACTCCCCGCTGAGCAGGAAGCCCGAAGTGGGGCTCGATCCCAGGACCCCGGGATCATGACCTGAGCCGAAAGTACCTACTGATCATGATAACACAGACCCCAGAGGGTAACCTTGTCCCTGTTGGGCTAACAGTTTTTGTTGTCTTGTCTGCCAGATAGAAACATAGAATGCCTGGCTGGCCTCACCCAAGGAATTCAGAGCCGTTGGCAAGGCCTGCTGCTAGGAGGGCTCTTTCTAGTGGTTTCCCTGCTTCTGTACAAAGAATACCAAAGGTTTTTGGACATTGATCTTTGTTTTTCTTCCAGTTTTATTGAGCTGTTCATTGACATATCACATTGAATAAGTTTAAGATGTACCACATAATGATTTCAATATTTGTATATAATACAAAATGCTTACCATAGTCAGTTTAGTTAACATCCATTACCTCACACAGTTCCAGCTTTTTTCCTTGTGATGAGAACTTTTCAGGTCTACTCTCAGCAACTTTCAAATATACGATACAGTGGTAACTATAGTCACCGTGCTGTGCGTTTCCTCCTCAGAGCTTATAACTACACGTTAGTACCTTGTGACCAGCTTCACCCATTTCCCCCAGCCTGGACCTTCGTCATTAAATTTGTCCTTCTATGGTGCTTTCCAAGTCTAAGATTTTCTGTTTCTCAATGATGGTGTTTTGGACTCTTCTAATTTTTTGTCTTAATAAGAAAATGCAATTGCATTGACAGGTGTTAAATGACAGAGATGCCTAGCACTGTGATTATTTTCTGTGACCTGTTCCGTTCAGAACCCTCTGGCTGCGTAGTTCTATTCTCTATGCTCTGCCACTTTTGACTCTCCCTTTCCCTTGGGGACCCCCTTGCAGAGCTGACAGGCCCTTGCCTCCAATGGGTCCAGCTGTCAGCCAGAGAACCAGCAGTCTTGGCCAAGCTGCTCAGTGTGCAAGAGAAAGCCCCTCTATTGGGGCGCCTGGCTGGCTCAGTCGGTGGAACGTGAGACTCTTGATTTCGGGGTTGTGAGTTTGAGCCCCACGTTGGGGGTAGAGATTACTTAAATAAATAAAACTTAAAAAAAAAAAGCTCCTCTGCAATTTTTCAGTGACTCATTCTTCCCTAGCATTACATGTATGATACGATGAGACCATTCTCATGTGCATGGAAGTCTTTGTTACCCTGTTTGATTCTCTTCCCTTAGGAATCAACTCCTAAAAGTTTAGAATTGAACTTTAACTTGTCTGATACCAAGTTTTGTTTTTTATTGAAGGCTATTTCTGATGCTTGGAAGCTACCCTTTCAGCCACAAAGATGGTCATCAATCTTTGCCTCCCACAGTTCAGACCAAGAATTTATTGCAACAAGGTAAACAAAACAAGTATATGCACATAAATATACGATGGCTACTTTTCATGTTTTTCCCCATTCCTGCCTTGTATATGTGGAGGTGTAATGTGCTTTCACTTTCTCTGTTTTAGATCCCACCAGGTGACACTTAGGTAAGCATGGTCAGGCCCCACGTCTAGAATCATACAGCACTGTTAGAAGGTGAGCTGTAGCTCATTTTCTGGAGGGTCGTATTCATTGTGCTCTTCCCTCTGATGATAAAATTTAATTCCGCTCAAAGTCCGAGTGAAGGTAGAGATACTGTCTCTCCCCTGCCGTTCTTCCCGCTTACTTCCCATGCTAGAAATGATGGCTTGTATTTGTTATTTGGATTCCTTTATTATTTGAATTAAGCTGCTTCCCCTTTTGTGCAAAGGAGGTTATCTTTCCACAGCCCGGAGCAAGGAGTAAGGAAACTGCAAGGGGAGATCTCAACCCTCCCCTGATTTGGACCTTCTGCACACAGCGTACTATTTCAGGTTCCCAGATTGTGAAACTGATTTCTGCCAACAGAGACACAATTTCCCCCTGCCATCTGAAAAGAACATTCCTATGAAACCTTTCATAAGCTGAAATGGTGTAAAATGAAGATTATCCCCTGCCTTCCGAAAGTTCACCTTAGGCCACTTTGCTTTTACGAAAGGCCTATATTAGTGTGATAATGACTTTTCTTCGTAAAAGGAAAAATTCTCTCTGGATTTCTTTTGGTTGGTAAAAACAGGTACTAATGTAGGTCTTTCATAAAAGCAAAGCGGTGTGATGTGAGCTTTCAGATGGGGAGGTACCTGCATCTTAAAATCTCTACCTGTGGGGCGCCTGGGTGGGGCGCCTGGGTGGCTCAGTCGTTAAGCGTCTGCCTTCTCCTTGGGTCATAATCCCAGGGTCCTGGGATCGAGCCCCGCAACAGGCTCCCTGCTCCCTGCTCCGCGGGAAGCCTGCTTCTCCCTCTCCCATTCCTCCTGCTTGTGTTCCCTCTCTCGCTGTGTCTCTCTGTCAAATAAATAGAATCTTAAAAAAAAAAAAAAGAGCTCTACCAGTTATAACAAATACTGGAAATTTAAGAGGGGAAGAAGTTACTCACATTCCCACCCCATAGCATATTCACTGTTCTAGATTTCCCGTAGTCTTATGGTCCTTGTTTCTGAACACACCTTTTTTTAACCAAGTTCCAACAATCATAGATTTACAAGAAGATTGTTCATTGTGCCTTGCTAGGGAAACCAATTGGTAGAGTCCAAATACAAAATTAAGAACTTTAGTGAACATCTTTGTTTTCCCCTAAATCTCTCTGGTTTCATCCTCTGAAATAAAAAAAAAAAAAAAAAATTAGTATATCAGCTCTTTTTTTCTCAGAGACATTATTTTGAAGGGATTTTTGGTTGGGTTGAGCAGAGTTTTGTTCGTATTTTTTTTTTTTTTTTTTTAAGATTTTACTTATTTATTTGACAGTGAGAGACACAGCCAGAGAGGGAACACAAGCAGGGGGAGTGGGAGAGGGAGAAGTAGGCTTCCCGCCGAGCAGGGAGCCCGATGCGGGGGCTCTATCCCGGGACCCTGGGGTCATGACCTGAGCCAAAGGGAGCCGCTTAACTGACTGAGCCACCCAGGCACCCCTTGTTCGTATTTTTTAAGAATAGGCAGTACTTAGGAACAAGTTGCCCTCGGCCTTTGAGCTGAACTTGAGTGCCTCCCCCCGCCCCCAAAAAAACCCAGGAGAATTCGGTGTGATAGGGGGCATTTTAAATGAGGAACTTAATACTTTCTTTAAATAATTTTCTTAGAAGTGGCAAGTTCTTGAAAACTGGTTGTCTTCATTTGGATCTCATCAAATGAATGCATCTCGTATTTGTCATTAACTTTAGATATCAGCTGATGGTTATGAAGTAGAAAATCTCATCTCTGAAGACCTCACAAAGAGAAGTCATGGTTTTAGGACAGAGTATTTCATTAAGCCACCAGTCTATGTGACAGTTTCCTTTCCCTTCAGTGTGGAAATCTGTAGGATTAACATAGACCTCACAGCTGGGGGAGGCCAGAATGTCACAGGCCTGGAAATGTACACGTCTGCCTCATCCAGCAGAGCACCTTGGAATGCCCCCGAGTGCCGGACTCTGGGCCCAGCCGAGCCATCCATCCCGGACAAGGAGGCGTTCACCTTGGTAGGCAAAGTCTTACTGAAAAACCAGAGCCAAGTGGTGTTTAGCCACAGGGGCTTCAAGGCCAGGCCACCTTTTGGTCCAATGGAAGCCACACTCCCCTCTCCCGCTGTTGTGGCACAGGAGCTCTGGAATAAAGGAGCTCTTTCTCTTAGCCATGTGGCCCATCTCAAGATCGGTATCACGCATGTGACAGGTGGCGGTATCCCTTGCATCAAACGGTTGGAAGTGTGGGGTCAGCCAGCTAAAACCTGCTCTCAGGAGGTATTAGACAGTGTCCTGCTGCTTGCCTCCGAGAGCCTCCCTCAGGACTTGGCTCTGCAGGCCCCCGCCTTGCCCATGGAGAGTGACTGCGATCCCGCAGGCCTGTCTGAGGGCCAGCAGGCCCCCTCCAGCCTGCGGGAGCTAGCCGAGGTAATTCGGGATGTGCCTGAGGAGTTCCTGGATCCCATCACCCTGGAGATCATGCCTTGCCCCATGCTGCTGCCCTCGGGCAAGGTCATCGACCAGAGCACACTGGAGAAGTGTAACCGCAGTGAAGCTGCGTGGGGCCGAGTGCCCAGCGACCCTTTCACGGGGGTGGCCTTTACTCCGCACTCCCAGCCCCTGCCTCACCCCTCCCTGAAGGCCCGGATTGACCATTTCCTGCTCCAGCACTCCATTCCTGGCTGCCATCTGCTCGGGAGAGCACAGACTGCGTTGGCAGTGACCCCCTCTTCCATTGCTCTGCCCTCTCGGAAAAGGAAGATGGAGCACGCTGAACACGCCCCAGACGGTAGCCTCGGTATCAGTGCTTCCTGTTTCTCTACCACAAGCCTTCTGGTCTCACCCACTACCTCAGAGCACCCCGCTAAGAAAATGAAAGCTGCCAGTGAGCTGGGGCTGACGCACATGGACTGCTCATCAGGTACTCCACGTCCTACGTCCATGTCCGTGGTCATCCCTACGCTTCCCAGGTGACACTTGGCACCGTTGCCCTGTGCTTTATGCCTTGCCACCTTAAATTATCCCCACATTTACTGGTGTAAAGTACTACACATGCATGATCTCATAGCTTCTCTGGTCAGGAATCCAGGCATGGTTTGGCTCAGCCATCTGCTTCACAGTCTTCCACAGCCACGGTCACAGTGTCTGCAAACCAGATGGAAGTCACAGTCTTGTTTAACCCAGTCGTGGTGGTGACATCCTATCATGTTTGCTATATCCTGTTAGAAGCAAGTCGCTGAGCCCAGCCTACACTCAAGGGGTGGGGGTACCCGGCCGGGTACCCAAGGCAGGAGTATCTGGAGGTGGGTCTCATTGGGAACCATTTCAGATGCTCTCCCACACCATTGATTCTTATTTCGTTCAGTGGTGGTTTTTTTGTTTGTTTGTTTTTATCTAAGATTGGTGGTTGAATTTTGTCTAATGCCTTTTCAATGTCAATGGAGATGATGCTACGATTTTTCATCCTGAGAACTCTTAATATGAAAAAATACATTAATAGGCTTCTTAATATTGAATAGCCAGTACTACATTCCTGGAAGAAACTCCATTTGGTCATGCTTCTTTTAATGTTCGGCTTGGTTCTGTTTGCTAGTGTTTTATTTTGGATAAATAATTTGGACTGTCGTGTGTATGTATGCATGGGCACATGCCATCTTTGGTCATGTTTTGTTACCAAAGATTTATTTGCTCCATAAGAAGAATTAAGAAATTTTCCTTTACTAAACTTTAGAACAGTATAATAGAGTGCTCGCTTTGGCAGCACATAAACTAGAACAATATAATAATATTAGGATCATTTACTCTTTTACATATTTGGTAGAATTTGCCCATGACTGTTTGTGCCGGGTGTTTTGGAGATAGCTCTTTGACACTTTTTTCTTATAAAAATTAGTCTGTTTAGATTTTATCATTCTTCTAATTTCCTCTCTTACTGTAAAATCCATAGGCAAATAGTGTGCTTAAAGGTTACGTCGGGTTTTGAGTATAAGTTTTAGTTAACATGACCCTCAGAAACTCCTGGAAGCATCCGAGGTGCAGTGGGGTGAGACAAGGAAAGGTCCTCAGACCCTGAGACCTCTGAAGCCTCCAGTAGTGTCGGCCTTGGCAGATTTGTTGATGACATAGGACCGTGCGGACCTGTGCTTCAAGGTCCCAGGCAAGTCCTACAAACTGTAGACAAAGCGTTCTACTCTCTGCTTTTTTTTTTTTTAGATTTATTTATTTATTTATTTTGAGAGAGTGAGAATGAAAGAGAGAGAGAGAGTACATGAGAGGGGAGAAGGTCAGAGGGAGAAGCAGGCTCCTCGCCGAGCAGGGAGCCCGATGCGGGACTCGATCCCGGGACTCCAGGATCATGACCTGAGCCGAAGGCAGTTGCTCAACCAACTGAGCCACCCACGCACCCTCTACTCTCTGCTTTAGGGCAGTTTTGTGAACCCTGCTACCAGGCAGGTCTCTGGGTTCTTTCGTGGACAGCTATCCCCCTCCCCCTTTGCCTTCACCCTCAGCCCACTGCTTGGCTTTCTGTGGACCACACTGAGAAGGTCCCTTAGATCATGGAATGGGCAGAGTGAGGTCTTTGTTATTCCACTTGGTAATGACCACTTTGCTTTACTCAGCAGGAGGGAGAGGACACAAGTGCCCACAGGTGCAGGCCAGTGGCCCTGCGGAGTGGCAGGGGCCCCGGAAGAGAGGAGACGAGGAAAGGCTGCTGGTGAGGGAGTGGACAGGGAGCAGGGGCACAAAGCTGGGCCTTCACCCAGTCGTTTCCTTGGCTTGGAAGACCTGCAGAAAGTAGGGTGCAGTTCCGCAGGGGAGCCACCAGGTGGCCCGGGCCTGCCCAGCAGTTTGTCCAGGAGGAGGAAAGCTGGAACGGAGCCCAGGAACCCTGGAAGCTGGGTGGGGTGGGTCCCCAGGGCTTTAACTGCTGATATTCTGTCATCACAATTCACGAGTGGACATTACGGAGGAGGTTCTTTACATTTGTGTCCATTCGAAGCTGGAAGTGCTGTTCGAGTAGTCCTCCAAGGACTTACGGCTTGCTCTTCTCTTTTACTGAACCTCTCTCTGGATGTTGTGGTCTGTGCATCTCTTGTCAGGTCCGGTGTCCCATGAGCAGAAGCTGTCACAAAGCTTGGAAGTTGCCTTGACGTCGACCCTTGGCTCCATGCCCTCCTTCACAGCTCGGCTGGCCAGGGGGCAGCTCCAGCAGCTGGGCGCGAGAGAAAGCAGCACCTCCTGGAGGCCAGGCGCCGGCTCGGGTAACCAGGGCCCCATCTGTCTCCTGGGAGCCCTGGAACAGGAGGCTGGGCTTTGCCTCCGGGGCTCTGCTGACCGCCATGCCCGGCTTCCTCAGCCCTGGCGCTCGGGCCTCGGGGAGACCCCAGTCTCTTTCCTTTTCCGGGGGCAGTTGAGGAGCTCCTTTGAAATGTAACTCTTCACAAGAAAGGCTTTCTTTAGTTAAGTCTTAGTAATTCTGTGGACTTAGGGCTTGGCAGCTCTGTGGTGTTTCGGTGAGATCTAATATTAATTGTTCTGTCCTAAGGACTTTTGTTTGTTTCTCCTTTGTTTAGTTTTCATATCTAGTCCGTCTCCCATCCGACCTGTGTGTGGTTTATTTTATGAAACTGTGGAGGGAGTCTGGCGTTGTCCTCTTCATGCCTTCCTGTCAACGTTGTCCCTGGTGTTTCAGCAAAGAACTGGGGCAGCTTACTGAGCCAGTTTTTGCCTACCCTGAATCTGGGACCACATTAGATGATAGAATCAACTAGGCTACAAAGTGAGAGAACCTGCTGGAATGCTGGGACAGGTTTTACAAGATGAAGCCTGAAGGAGCTCATGATAAGGCGGACACTCGATTCCTGCTGCCCCTCCAGACCCGGGCTGAGCTCTTGTCTGGATCCCAAGCCATCTTAGCTCTTCCGCTTCTCATACCCACACCCCTGTCTCTCTGATTATGTTTCCACCCTGGCCAGCCCCCAGAACCTTCTTGTCCAGGTCACCGGTGGTTTCCCTGGACTCCAAACCCAGTGGTCACTCACCCTCTCAGCAGTGTCTGATGCGGCTTCTTAGCACCACCTTCCCAAAACACCTTCTCTCTTGGCCTTCTGGATGGCACACTCTTCTCCCTGTTTTCACCATCCCTTTATAGTTTCCATTGCTGACTCTTCCATCTCTTCCAGACTCTGGTCCTGGACCCTCTTCTCTGTCCTCCCAGCAAGAGCCCACCGGCCGGTGACTACCCATGCTCACCTATAGCTCCTTCCTCTCCTTGGAGCTCAGACCCCAACCTCCCTGACAGCTGCCTGGCACCTCCACATGGCAAACTCATGGATATTTCTTGAGTGAAATTCTAACTCAGAACTGCAAACACCCTCTGGAGGTTCCCCCCCGCTCCCATAACCCCACTGCTGATAAAAAGCAGCATCTTCTACCCTTTGGTCAGGCCTATAACGTGGACATCATTCTTGGTTTCCTTCAACATTCCTGATACCCATTCATCCCCAGGTCCTGTCGGTACTCCTCAATACCTGTCGGTATTCATGCCTCAGAGCCCCGTTCTCTGCTGCCCCCCGGCCCCAGCTCCTGTGCCCTGGCCCCCATCTCCTTCAGCAGCCCTGCAGCTCCCCGGCAGCCACCCTTGCCCGTCGCTCATGGGAGCCAGAGGGGTCTTCTTATGCTCTCAACCAGCTCGTGGCTCTGCACTTCTTAGACGCCTCTCAGGGCATCCGGTTGAGCTTTGAATAACATCTAAACTCCCGCTGCCTGTGAAGTCCTGCGGGCCCCAGCCCGCCCCCGGCCCCCCTTTACAGTCTCGCCCGAAGCCAGTCTCATAGGTCACACCTCTGGGTCCTGTCTTTCTCTCATGGACCGGCCATTTTCTCGGTTTGGTTTGGTTTGGTTTGGTTCTAGACCAGCCATTCTTTGTACTTGCTCTCCCTTTCTTTCTGCATGGCTGGTCCCTTTTCTTCCCCCAAGAGGCCACCCTGACCCTCTCCGGAGGGGTGTGGACTGGGGAAGAAAGAGCAGCCTCCCAAGGCCAGGGCCACGAGACAAGGAAGCGCAGCGGGTGCAGCTTGGGGAGGGGGTGGCAGGACTCGGCCTGTGTCACCCCCATTCAGGGAGGCCCTGCAGGAAGCAGGGAAAGAGAGCCTGCAGCACGGGAAGGGGATCGGCAGGTCAGAAGGGGGGCTGCTGGGCTGAAGAGAAGCAGGTGCCAGGCTCAGCGGGCAGGTCTACTGCAGACAGACCTCAGCCCCGCCTCTCTGGTACCCTCCTCCCTCTGCTGACCTGCCCGGCCCCTGCTGCACCTGACCCCTCTCTGCTTTTTCCTTGTCTTGTGGCATCTCGCCTTGTAGTTTTGTTGTCAGGATGCGCTTGTGCCTCACACTCTGACCTTGGCAGCCTGTCCCAGTGGAAAGTAAGTCCTGCTTGGAGACCAGGAGGGAGGGCTCGGTGTGGCCTGCCTGCCCTCAGAAGCCAGCTTTTCTTGAGCACTCATTGGAGCACCAAGATTTAATCATTGAGGGGAAGCCTCCCAGGTTCCCAGGCTCCCCAACACCCTGTCCTCCCGGATCAGCCAGAAGTGGCCTCGGGAGGGATACAGCCACGCTGCCACAGGGGTGGAGGGTGGGGAAGCTTCTTGTCCCGCTCCAGGCATCTGCCCGGCCATCGGGACGGGGCCTGAGCGAGGGGGCCGCTTTCCCTAACCTTGGCTTATTTTCCTCCCTAATTTACCAGAGCAGCCTGGGAGCGTCCCGGGCCCCGAGTGCGCCTCCTGCAAAAGAGTGTTTTCTCCCTACTTCAAAAAGGAGCCGGCCTACCAGCTTCCCTGCGGCCACCTCCTGTGCCGGCCGTGCCTGGGCGAGAAGCAGCGCTCCCTGCCCGTGGCCTGCGCCGCCTGCCGGCGGCCGTTTGCCACCCAGGACGTGCTGCGGGTCCACTTCTGAGTGAGCAGCCTCGGCCCGAGAAGACCCGTCGAGGGGCGTCGCTCAGAGAGTGGGGGTCAGGATCCCCTGAGGTCTGGCCAGGGCCCCAAGCACACAGGGGCCCTTTCTTCCCCAGGGGCTTTCCCCTTTGTTTCCTTCCACAGTGTAGCACACGGGCCAGAGTACGGGGTGGGAGGGGGCACCCCACTCCTGCTCAAGTGGCAATAGGATAACAAAGCCATAGTTTGGGCTGGGAGGGTTGGGGGACTACCCCCGCCCTCCTGTGCCTCCCTGCCACCCCACCCCCTCCCCCGCCAGAGCCCAGGGCCTGTGAGAGCCGGCCCCGCCCTGCTGGGGGGCCCCCCACGTGGTCCGTGCACACATCCCAGCCCCGCAGGGTAGACGTGAGTGCAGCACAACAGACTGTGGCTCGGAATCTCGAAGACAGCCTCCGCCTTCGGTGTCACCCGGGAGCCAGGAGTGCTCCGTGGTGGGGGTCTGGAGTGAATGACTCAGCCCCCAACTGGCAGACCACTCCGAGCCTTAATAAAGTGATGGTTGACGTCTGTCCGCTGTGGGCTTCCTCCTGACAAAGTACCTGTCTGTCGTCATATGTCTGTCCCCCACTGGCACCCACACCAAGTGGGGCTGTCACAGGGCAGCCTCCAGCCGGCCCGGCAACCCCATCAGGCTGCAGTTCAGGTCAGTGGCCTGACGGACGAGAAGTCACATTTCGGGATGCATCTGACGTGCGAGGGTTTGCACGTGGGTGTGGGCGCCAGTGGGGAGGCCCGGCACCCACCGAGCTGCTGGCCGCACTGCCCTCTGAGGCCCACCGAGCTTTGCTGCACGGGGCCCCTGGCAGAAGTACTTAAACAACTCGGCTGCATTCTTTTCACTCAAAATTTAGTTTTGTGGCATCCCAGGGGAAACTCTGTACTCCTACAACTGTTTACTGCATGGAAGATTCTAGTTGCTGGAAGAATGTCTGTGAGAAAGTGTGCCGGACCCTTCCCTGCTCCCCATGAGTCCCTGTGAGTCTGCGGGAAGGAGGGCCTGGCGGTGCTGCACCAGTTCGTCGTGAGGTTTCAGGCAGGCACCTGTGGGCCCCGAAATCCCAGCCGCCTGCTCTCCTCCCCTCCCACAGGCCCGCTGCCTCCTCTGCCCCGGGGCAGGGAATGAGGCGCTGGCGGGGAGGAGCGGAGCTTATTACAAAAGCTTATTAAAAGCTCTGATTCTTGGACTCTAGTACAGACCCAGGAATTTAGAGATCTGGGGGTGGGGCTAGAGATTCCTAGGGGGTTTGTGTGTCCCCAAAGGAAATTCCTCTCCGTGCCGCAGGCGGCAGCCTCGCCTGAGACTTCAGGGTCTGTACTGGTGGGCTTTCCTCTTAGCCGGTGAGGCCCCTGGGTGCTCTTTGGCTTTAAAGGTCTGGGCCTTTCCAGATTCCTGCCTTACCCTCCTTGCCTCAATGTATTGTAAGAAAAGCCCCACATTTGTGGCAGAAGCAGCGCTGGGGGTGGGGGGATTCCATTCCTCAACCTGTGATGGCCTCAGGGTAGCAGCCCGCTCAGCCCTCCCGGGCAGGTCCACTACTCAGAGCCCTGCCGTCTGGGGGTGCCCTGCCATCTGGGGTGCCTGCTGTTTGGGGGCGCCCTGTCCGCCCCACCCCAGGGAGCCAGAGGCAGCTGCTTCCAGTGTGGGGTCTGCATGAGGCACCCCCAGATAAGGGCGGAGCTGTCTCCCCGCCTGTGGAGGGGCCTCGTGATCTGCATTTCAAACTGGCTCCTGCTCCCTGATTGGCCCTGGTGGGAAACCAGGCTTGGGAGCCCCTGGGGAGGACAGTTCCTGTCCTGTGCCCAGGTGGAGCCACACCCATGTCCTTGGACATGCATCCGTTTTGATCTTACTTTTTTTTTTTTTTAAGCTCTATACCCAACATGGGGCTTGAACTCACGACCCCAAGATCAAGAGTCACATGCTCTACCGACTGAGCCAGCCAGGCGCCCCTTTACCTTAGTCTAAAGAGTCCCCCGAAAGGATGTGGTCTTTCACCACCCTTGCCAGAACGCTAAGCGTGGCCGGGCTGATTCTCTCCCTTAGAAAATGGTAATAACCGTTCTCTTGCCACCAACGAGGCTCAGAGGGCAGTTTACTTCTCAGCAGCATCCCCGGGCCAGGCACAGAGCAGCTGACCAGTGAGCACGGAGCTGCGCCCCACTGACTCTGAGAAGACTCAGGAGCGCAAAGCCTCGATGTGGCCCGCTGCCCCCTCGCCCGGCCGCAGGTCCCGTGGGGGCACGCGTCTTCCCCTTTTCCTCTGTCATGTACTCGAGACACCAAGCCTGTGTGGGGCGCGCAGCCCTGGGCCCTCCGAGAGCGGGGGCCTGGGCCCCAAATCTCCATCCACGAGGAGCAGGGCGACCTGGCGTCCTGGCCATCCTCCCTGCGGGGCTAAGGAAGGCTTCAGTCCTTGGCCGCTCTGTGGCCCGATTTGGGTCGTTTGCTCCCGGCTGGGGCCCGCCAGCCCTGGGGACAGCGGGAGGGAGGGCCGCTCAGAAGTCCTGAAGGTAGAAGAAGTAGAAGAACCAGACGGCTAGGAAGAAGATGAGCATCTGCTCGGTGCTCACAGAGTAGTACTCCATGTCCTGGCAGCCTGGCGGCAGCGCCCCACAGCACCTGGAGCCCCGAGCCCTGGGCCGCACCGCCACCTCCCGTGGGTCTCCAGCCCGAGGCCACTCCGCCACCAGGAGCTTTTCCATCCCCCAGGAAACCAGCCCTCTGCCTCGGGGGTTGCTGTAAGTAGGTCTGCAGACAAAGCAACCTGCCCCTGGAGGAAGCTGCGGCCCCGCCGGGCTTCCAGGCCGCTGCTTGGCTGCTTGCCTCCTGCCTGTGGGGTTGTGATACTGGGCCAGCTGCCATTGTGAGGGCTGTGGGCGGGGCGGGGCGCCTCAGGGCTGTACCCCGCCACCCTCGCAGGGCCCCCCTGCCCCCTCCCCCCCAGCCCCTCCGCAGCCTGCACTGGCGCACCCGGCCCCCGCCCACTGGCTCCCGCAGATTTTTCCTTCCAGTTCTAGGGCAAAGGGCCTGGCTGGGCTGGGAATCAGCCAAAGATGCTCTGTCCAGCTACCCGTGGCAGAGGCCATAGCCCAGGCTCCACCCCGCGGTAACGCACTCCCTCTCTTACAAAGAAATGCCATGGATCAGAGGGGTGACGGATCTCCAGAGTGGCTCGGGGATGAAGGGAGGATGAAGGAAGAAGAGGCAGCCTGGTGGCCTTTGGCACGTTTTCTCCACCAAGGTTTGTGCCAATAGCAAGATGATGCTACCTGCAACCACATTATCGAGACGCGACCACACAAACATTGTGGGTTGGGTTTTTCCCCCTTACAATATCTTTCTATAAGGGGAAAAAAAGTACGTATATATGCTGTGTGGTTCTGTTGACTGCTCTTTACCTTACCATTTTTTTCATGGACATTTGCCCTTGTCTTAGACACTATTCTTATTATCAAAATCATTTGGGAAAACAAGCCAGAATAACCAGGAAAACCCTGGAAATGAAGAACAGTTTGGGTTGCGTGGGGAGAACTAACCCTTGAATACACAGACCAATGAAACAGTTAAAAATCCAGCCGACCAACAGGGAAAGATGGACCTTTCACGAAGTGGTGCTGGGGCTGCTGGAAGAAGGAAACCATCCAAGAACTAGAAGAAAGTGGAAAATGGGTTGACTGGGAACCTGGGAGTGAGGAAAATGCTCCTCATTCAAAATCCAGATACAGTGAGGGAGAAGATTGACAAATCTGACTACATTGAAATTAAAAACAAAAAACCTTGTACATAGAATAGCAAGCTACCATTAGCAAGGTAAAAAGTAAATTACAACCTGGAAACAGTATATTTGTAAGGTGTATTACAATGGTTCCTATAGCTTCTAAAAGTAAAGATTCATAAAGAAATGCACACGGCCTCTTAAACATGTCAGAAGATGCTCCACCTTGCTCACAATATGATAAAATAAAAACAACCCTGAAACACTATCTCTTGTTTAGCAGATGGGCACGCATCTCAAAGTGGGGCCGCACTCCACTGCTGGAGCTGTGGGCTAACAGGTGCTGCCATGCACCGCAGGTGGCAACGCGAGCTCTGCGGAGGGCGACGTAACAGTTTCTAGCAAAGTCACGTGTACATACATGGACCTTCTGACCCAGCCATCCCGCTCCCAGGATTGTAGCCCAAAGATTCTCTGGCAAAACTCGGAGAACAACTCTGGCGCCACCGGAAGCGGCAAGCAACCTGAGCAGCGGACCCGGGTCCGCCGCGGGGCCTGAGGAGCCGTGTCGCCCCCTTGCGGAGGACCCAGGAACAAGTGGTTTACACGCACGTGTGATTGGGCATATATTATCATCAAGGAGGTTATGGAGACTCTGAAGGCCACCCATGTGTGTTTAAGAAAAAACACAAACTTTGCATTCAAAAGTTTTTTTATAAAGTTTCTACGTATTGAGTACACTCTTGGGGGGAGCGCGGGGGGCATCCTGCTGAGTGCTTTGTTTGTATGACCTCGTTTAATCCTTGTGTCTCTTTTTTAAGTTAGCTTTCCAGACAACATGGGGCTTGAACTCACGACCCCGAGAACTAGGGTCGCATGCTCTAAAGACTGAGCCAGCCAGCCCCCGCCCCCCCCAATCCTTAACTCCTAAAGGAGGAAACTGAGGCTCAGGTCCATGAAGAGCTCAGCTGACTGACTCCAAGGCCACTCTTAACCCCTGGGATGCTTTACTGGTGGCAGAGGCTGCCAAAGAGCAGACTCAATGGGGCGCCTGGGTGGCTCAGTCGTTAAGCGTCTGCCTTCAGCTCAGGTCGTGATCTCAGGGTCCTGAGATCGAGCCCCGCATCAGGCTCCCCGCATCGGGCTCCCTGCTCAGTGGGAAGCCTGCTTCTCCCTCCCCACGCCCTCGGCCTGTGTTCCCTCTCTCGCTGTGTCTCTCTCTGTCAAATAAATAAATAAAATCTTAAACAAAAACAAAGAGCAGACTCAAATCCCCTCTATAGGAGTGGCCTGAATGCTACAGCACAGCTTTCGAACGTTAAAAAATATTACATGTCTAGGCACAAAAATAAAAGCTGTTCTGCCCAACAAAGACTCAGCACAGTTCACTTTATGTAAGTGGGGAAATCTGCTTGAGATATGAATGGAAAAGTACCCATCCTGTGCAGCTGCTGAAGGAGGAGGGTGTGGGAAGGAGCAAGGAGCCAGACAGGGAAGGAGCAGGTGCAGAGTGGCCCTGGAATGGTCTGTGGCAGGCTGCGGCGGGGACTGGCCTGCCCCCCCCCCCCCCCCCACTGTGCTGGGCTTGCCACCCTGCAGACCGCACCTCGAGATGTGGGATGTGTGTGGCTGAGGGAGATGCTGTTTGAAAGAGAAACTAGATGAGTGGGAAACAGTAATCCAGTGAGCCCTGTGTGGTCCTGGTGGGGCGAGAAGGCATGAAGGATGGACAGACTGGGGGCGCCTGGGTGGCTCAGGAGTTAAGCGTCTGCCTTCAGCTCAGGTCATGATCCCAGGGTCCTGGGGTCGAGGCATCGGGCTCCCTGCTCGGCGGGAAGCCTGCTTCTCCC